CTCTATCTCTCTCGGTAGCACTTTTTTCGTAAGAAGTAATAATGTACTTCTACTTGCTTAGTCCTTCTGTGAAAGATTGAACCGACCAGACTCTCCTCAATCTAGCAAAATGGTACTCTTGATCTGTCTATCCGCGGAATCCATGCATAGCCATAGCTGGGCAACCAGTAGAAAATTAATGCACGGTGTGATTCTCACTATTTAGGAGGGTGTTCCTAGACTGAGCCAAAGTTTAAGCCCCACCTGAAATCATAGATTGATTTTTGGACCGAATCTAGAAGTCATGCTGACCCGGGGCCGTTTAATTAATTTCGTAATTTTTCAACTTGATAGGTCATCTATGTCCCAACTATTGTATATTCCTCATTCTATTAAATTAATTACTTGGGAACGTGGTTTACGAGGCTAGGTTGAATCATGAAATTACAGTAGGGACCATATGTTGCTTATAAAGATATATTCTTGCTGTTGCTGTCATTACAGATGATGTGCAGTTTCTTTGAGGGTGTTGTCTTCTAATCGATGTCCTTTCTTGCAATGTTTCTTATAAAGATATATTCTTGCTGTTGCCGTCATTACAGATGATAGTGCAGTTTCTTTTGAGGGTGTTGTCTTCTAATCGATGTCCTTTCTTGCAAATTCATCAAACTATAGTTTGAGTCCTCCACGCTGAAAGATACTTTTTTCCGTAGCACCATCACTTATAAACTGCATCAGCAACGCCATCATCAACTAAATTCAAAACAAAGTCATTATAAAGATCAAACTGTCATCTTCCCCTCTCCTCGGTTGTTCTCTTTTCTCACGAAACTTAATGGAAATTTATTATGAGTAAACTTCCCATTAATTTCCCAAATCTGTTCCCTTCTCTTTTGCTACTCGTCAATATGAAAAATCAAATCTTTGGTCGACCCCTTTGAAGGGTAAGGCCTGGTCTTTCTTCATATTTCAAATATGATCAAGGCAAGAGCCACACCCTAACAAAACATACCCAGAAAATGAAAAAAAAAAAAAAAAGCCAGTGATCATCGGGTAGAATCAGCTCCTCCGAAAATCAGAAGAAAAATTTGGCCCTTCTAGGTGATGCAAATCTGGTCATCACCACGAATGGAACTGATCAGTTTCAAGGTACTTTCCGTTAGAAGTCAAGGTCAACTTTGGCACTATCTGTAAGTTACGAGCTATAAAAATACAGCTAGGAAATGTAGGAAGTTGAAGAGGTATAAAGCAACTTGGCATCAATTATCAAATGGGGAAACTATGCTGCAAGTTCGAGACTGGTGGTGGTATTGATCTGAAGGGGTTTCTGGTAGCAGTGATTCTTGTTCTACTGGTCATGGCTTCCTGCATAGCTCCCCGGAGGAGGGTCGTTTGCATCTATCGCCACCTGTGAAGACGGGTCGATGCCATTCCTTTGTTGTCTCTTGATCAAGTATGTTTCTCTTCCAAATATCGCCAACTTATGGGGAGAGAGAGATGGCAAAACCTGAAGCTACTTGTTCTTTGAAAAAGCTTGTCTTCTTTCTTTGCATTGAGTGTTTTTGGTGCCAAGTCCTGCACTTTCTGTCTTGCAGACATTTTGTTTGTCAATGACTCTCTAAATAGAGTCAACATTATAGGTGGCTAAAAAACTTACACTATGATTGGTAAACTCTATTCCATCTTAGTTTTGTTTTTTCTTTGGTTTTAATTTTTGGCATGTAGATCGTCTTCATTGTGTTTTGTCCTCCTTTAGTTCCACCAGCTTTGAATGTATTCTTTAGCATTAGGTTAAAAGAAGATCACTCATCACCCACCATCCAGTGGAAGAGAAGCGTTTCGTGCAGCAGTTTTGCGACGTGGCTGTGACACATGGAGAAACCAGGCAAGAACAGATGCTTTTTCTGAATCTTAAATGCAAGAGCTGGTTGGGAATGGAATGTAACATGATACAACTATTGTGACCTACTTGTGCATAAAATACTTTCTTCTATGGTATCCCATCACTTGTAAATTGCATTGGCAACATCCTCATCATCATCTGAAGTCAAATCTAACCTAATAAACAAAGTCAATTCACAGACAAACTGTGTAGTTCCTTCAAATCATCTTCCCCTTTCCTTCTTTTCTTGTTGGTTTGCTGACAAAATTTGTTGGAAACCATAAGCAAACTTCCCATGAATTTCCCAAATTTGTTCGTCTCTTTTGCAATGGTCAATAGGGAAAGTCTTGCCCCTTCATTGAAAGGTAAGACTGGTCTTTCTCTAATTAAATGTACGATGAAAAGCAAGATCTAACCTAACAAAACATAACCATAAAAATGAAAAGACCCACCTAACAACAACCACCAATTAATACTAAGAAATTGTAATAACCAATGATCAAATGGAAGAACCAGCTTGTGCTCAAATCAGAAGATTTTGGGCCCTCAAAGCTATGCATTTTTGAGAGAAATTGTCAAAAGAGTCCTAAACCCATTACACTTGTGTGTTAAACCTTTCCATTTGGCCAATTTAATGTTAAACCTTTTAGTTGTGCCAATATAGTCTTAAACTTTTTGACAATTTGTTAATTTAGTTCTAAAACTTTTGACGATTTATCAATTTAATCATTCTGACCAATTTTGGTTAGAAATCGCTAACGTGGTGGTTTATTTAGTGTTGGCTGTTCTATGTGGCACGGCCGGAGATGGCAAACACTGACGTGGACAATTTTATAAATTTTAATTTTTTTTAAATTTTATTTGAATTTCTTCTTTTTTTTCTTCTTTTCTTTCCTTTTTTTTTTTTTTCTAACCCAGGGCCGAAGAGTGCATCGTCCCCTCACCGAGATCTAGGTGAGGGCCGTGATCCTTGCTCGTTGGTTGGCGAGGGTGTCGGCGCTCACCCACTGGGGGGAGAAAAAAAAAGAAGAAAGAAAAGAAAGTGCCATGTAGGACGGCTGGCACTGACTAGACCGCAACGTCAACGATTTTCGCCAAAATTGGCCGGAATGATTAAATTGGCAAATCGTCAAAAGATTTAGGATTAAATTGGTAAATCGTCGAAATGTTTAAGACTAAATTGGTATAATTGAAATGTTTAGGACCAAATTCGCATAAATGCAATAGGTTTAGGACTAAATTGGCCAAATTTAAAGGTTTATGACTGCATTGGTATAAGCGTAATATGTTTAAAACTTTTTTTTGTAATTCTCCGCATATTTGGTCATCAACTTGATTAGTACGGATGGACTTTCCAATTAGTTCAAGGTCAATTGTGGTCGTCTATACTTCATAATTAAATTAGCGGCACTTATCATATGAATAAATAAATCAATACATGAAGTTGTGATGTTGATTATTTATATGTATTCAAGTTGGTGGTGTCGATTCCTTTACTACCTAATCCTCATGTATACCCGTGAGAAGAATTGAAGAAACGATTAAGCAGAGGAAATTCCGGAAAGTTGAAGAGGTGAGCGAGAGATTGATCTCAAGTTGTTAATGGGGAAATTGATCATCAAGTTTGACAAAGGCGCTAGTGTCGATTGGAAGGGATTCGCTATAGCAATGACTCTTGCTCTACTGTTCATGGCTTCTTGCATTATCAGTCCCAGGAGACGACGGGGTGTTTGCGTCTATCGCCGCCGGTGACGACAAATCGACCGCGGTTTTTTCTCTTGCTTTTGTCTTTCGCTCGTGTCGTCCCCAGAGATCATTGCAGTCTTCTTTTAGTATCCAAGGTATGGTGACAGAGATTGTGAAAGCTATTTTGTTCTTTGGAAGTTTTTCTTCTTTGTCTCTCTGCAGACATTTCGTTTGTCCCCGACTCTCTCTTGTTGACTATTGAGGAAACATTCTAGCTGGTTACCCTTCAACTGGCTTGTTTGTCTTCATCATCTTCGGTCCATTCTTGACTTCCAGCTTTGAATGCATTCTTAAGCTTGAGGTCTTAACTTTTTGCATTCAAGAGCAAGGTGACTCAAATCTGCACAAAGGATTTAAAAGGGGCTGCAGGCGTGTGGTTGTTTGAATCTGATGAGCGTAATTATTTATTGTTTGGCTATCTCTCTCATGAAAAGAAAAAGGTAAAATCAAGACTAGTAAGACCTAAGATCGATCGCATCATTTTTTTTATTAAAAAGTAAAAGGGTGAGAGGGGATGATTAACATTGATGATCATTTTTGGGTGATCTCTCACCCATTACAGAATGTACGATTTGAGTCATAATTACTTTGCACCACTTGCGATTTGAGTCATAATTACTTTGCATCACTTGCGACTTGAAGGTTAGTTAGTCTCAGAGCTGAATTTAATTGCCTAAAGTAAGAATCAGATCAGTGCTCAACTCTTTCTTATTCAAATCCCCAGGGTTGACAAGTATTTGACCTGCAAGCCCACGAATACATAATCTAATTCGGGTCACACTTGCGCGAGACGTATTGCAGGTACCGGTGCATGAATACGTCCGTAATTAAGCCGTTGGATCCGGTGAACCCATATTCAAATTTGACAGACACAAGAGATTCAGTGATCCGGAAGTATTTAGATGCATGCAATGATGTTTACCTGCATTTGTAATTCTCTTGTCCTAGTAGTTTCATCAAGCGTGTGAGGGAGCGAGGAGCAAACACAAACGGAGAATGCATTCCGAAAGAGAATTAATGCATAAATGTCTCAACGATTTCAGTCATTCTTTGCCGTCTATAAGTCCAATCGACCGAGCTCCGTGACTAGTGATTTGGTTTCCCAGAAAGTAAGAAAAGAAAAAGTACGAATCTAATGCAAACAAGTTCTCAAGACCACAATCAAATAAGCTCGGTGAAAGCTAAGCAGAAGTGGTAGAATTCCGGAAAATACAAGATCGACTTCTTCAATGGTTCCGTGACCGAAACACCAGTACCACGTCATGGTAAAAGGTGTCCGTTGTGAACGAAGGCATGCCAAGAGACAAGCTGAGACCCGCATTGCCTCACTAGATCATTTGAGATGCTCAAATAGCCACACTACAGTAGCAAATTGTGAAAGACATCAAGCATGTAGAGAAAGTGAACTTGATGTATGTCCCAATCTGAACATTTATTAACCAAACAAGTCCGAAGTTATCCGGTATCTTTAGAATTGATTGATACGGGGGTGAGGATTTACAACATCCTTTACAAACACAACATTCAGGTATGCACACTCATGCAAACCCCAATCTTCTTTTTACCAATACATGCCATGATCATACTTCTGTGGCACAACTGGATGTCTGTCATCATCAATCACAGACTTGCATGCTCCGGGAAAGACCAGGAAGTGCAAGTAGGATGGAATACGGAAATCTGGACGCGAAGGACCTTATGAATGGCACCTCGATGGAGCACGCCGAGGACCTCATTTTCCTGAGACAATGCTAGATCTTGCAGGGAAACCGACCGAGAATGAGACTCGTCTCGCATTCGGAAGCCATAGAATAATCTGCTGAGCTTCCACCATTTCACACACACTTGACGCTGTGAGATCTCGCTATTTTGAAGCACTTCCATGACATGCTCAGCCTGCAAAATTACTAAGACTAATTTACCAAGGAGTAAATTCCAACCAATCTCCGGAGTCTCTTTGACACGATTCAATGCATTGGATTATGACAGAGTGATATTCCTAACTGACAAGCCAGAATGAGACCTCTACCCATACCAGCACAAAAATCAACAGGCAAAGTAATACAATCCCATTATGATTAGCTGGTATCTCTTCATCTGCATGGTGCGATTCCACAAATCAAAACCTAGTACCGCATATTCAAAGGCAGGGCACTATGTATAGTATGCAAATTTAAACATTTCATTTATCATTCTTCTTTTCTACAGTATATAGCTAAAGAAGAGGCTAGACGAACAATCAAGCTGTAAATCTCAACTTCAAGATTGCAAATCTTGAGACTGACTCAAATACAATCTTTATAAAGCAAATTCTCATGTGGAGCGATGGACAATATTTGCGAGGAAAGGTCTATACCATATACACAATCTTTCATTTTCACAACAGATAAGATGACATGCTTAAAAGATCGATCCCGTTAACGTAGGCAGGGAAGGAAAATGCTGCAACCATAACAAGCATAAATGCCTGCTTTTGTTTCTAGACATTTTAGCACCATTCAGAAGTCTTACACACCCCATTTGCAGCAATGTCAAAACATCACGGTCTGCTCAACGACAGTTATTGAAAGCAAGATGCCCATTTTGCAGTTATGTGTGTCTTTCCTCATGATTTATAGAAGCACGGAAGCAGCGCCTAAAAGTAAACAGTTGCTTACCGGCACTTCGAGCCAGTGCATGCAGTAATGCAAGCCGACCAGGTTTAGCAGCACATTCACTTCCGGCCTGAACAGAAACAATTCGACATCCTTGAAGCTAAGACACATGGAGTTCAAGTGCTCGATTGCTTTCAGGTAGTCTCTGATCTCGAGCGAATCGGAAAACGAACATTGCTCGACATGCTGAACAACCGACGTAGCTCGCTCGGCCATCTCGGCGTGCCTCTTCACGTAAAAGTCCCTCCATCCCTACTTTCAAATTCCAACCATCAACAAAAGCACCGAAACTACCATAATCAGAATGTCTCTATACTCGCCGAAAATTGCACAATCACGTTACAGCAAGTGACACTCAATCCAAAAGGGGACCAAATCATGCAAACATACATGTCCGAACAATCGAAATTAAGCAACTTTTATCATCAAAAGATCAGCACGAACCCAAACCCTGAGACCCAATGTTGAAAGAGAAGATTACCTTCAAAGAGGAAGACTCACTATGATCAACTGATGAAGATTCAGACAACAAATCCAGAGAAGGCCATCTCTGCCTCGCCAGAGACTCCCACAAGACATCCGACCCGCATAAGTCCCTCCAGAATCGGCAGCAACTTCCCAGAGCGCACAAATCACCCACCTGACGATCAAACCCAAAACCCATGTACGCAAAAATTACTCGAAAATCAAAACTACCCAGTTCCCTCGATCGGTTCGACGACACAAGGGCCACTGAAAAGAGATGGAAATCGAGGACGAATTGTTCCGAGACCTGGAGGCAAGACGCGATTTTGAGGGCGATGTCTTCCGGGAGCGAGGCTTGGATGCTTTCCGGCTGCTTCATTTCCCTCTTCCGGTTTCGCTTCGCCCGCCTCAGGGAGCGAAAGCGAACCGAAGGAAGCGAGCAAGCGTGAGACGAACCTGAATATGATGATGATGAGGTGATGATGATGGTGATGATGACGGTGAAGTTGCTCGGGCGCTCGAAGAAGAGGAGAAGCTTTGCTTGCGGCAGATGAAATGGCGAAGCTTTTGAAGCTTTCCTGCGATGGCGTCAGCACTCAGCTTCCGCACTGATGGCGGAGACGGTGGTGGAGAGTCGCCGAGCCCCCGCGTGTGACGGACCGGGTCGGGTGTCGAATTACGGGCCTTGAAGCGGGGCCCGGCCCGTATCTGAGTCTGAGGTTCGGGTTTGTAACAATCCGGCCCAGCCCGACTAGTTTCCGTGTTGGTTCCAATTATTACTTAAAGAAGGACCATGTTTTATCCGAAAACCCTGGTGCATTAAACCGTGGCTCATGGCTTGGACTAAAATCAAATAGACAAAACCAAAGATTTTTGCATTGAAGTCGATAAGCCTATTGATCTCTAGAATTGGTTTTTAAGAGATCGCGCACTAGAAGCTGTCATTTCCAAGGTCGAGCCTTGACCATAAACAAATATGATTAGGCCATTTTTCTGAGTTGAATCGATGAATTCAGATTCAATATCAAATACGTGTACAGATTTTCATTTCTCAGAATGGGGAATCGAACTGGTTCTCTATGACAAAAACCTGTAATTTTATAGATGAGGCCAATCCGGTTGGCCGTTTCTCGACTCTATTATCGATTTTCGGCTTCGACTAATGTCCTTGATCATGAAAGGGCGAAGTGTTTGAGACCAAAGTGATAATTCTGAAAGCTCAGGGGGGCTGGATTGCAATTTACAAACTTTAGAAACTCTTTTAACTCGTCATCCACTATCCAATGATTCTTGCTGTTCTCAGCGGTGCCTGTCCACCTATCATTTGGATTTTGTCTCGATTTCTTGAACCCAAGATTCACAACGGCCATGAAACGCCATCTCCACCTCAAGCTCACTCCTTTCCCTCCAGGAATGCTTCGGTGAAGCTCGACCCTTTCTTGGCCGTTGTGCTTCAACCGAGACTAGCTCCTCCAAGAAAGGAAAATGTCCCTTTCTCTGTCGTCCAATGCAATCAGTATTCAACCCACAAAGCGTGAAGCCTTGAGAGCGCGTTTCTCTTCTCAATTCATCAGCCCAGTTCAGGTGAGCTCAAGCACTCGTGCCTTCTCAGTCTCGCATGTGAGCTCACCTTCCTTCTTTAAGTTCAGCCGAGAAAGACTCGACCCAATTACTGCTTCACCAGCATCAGCGGCTGAAGCAGCACCCTCTTCCTTCAGGAACAAAACACCCAAAGATGTAAACGTTTTGGTCGTGGGCTCAACTGGGTATATTGGGAAATTCGTGGTGACAGAGTTGGTGAACAGAGGGTTCAATGTCATAGCAGTCGCTAGAGAGAGAAGTGGGATCCGGGGTAGGAACAGTAAAGACGAGACATTGAATGAGTTGAAAGGGGCTAATGTGTGCTTTTCGGATGTGACGAACTTGGAGACCTTGGAGAAGTCTGTGGAGGGCTTGGGATGTGATGTTGATGTCGTCGTATCGTGCCTCGCTAGCCGGTCTGGCGGAGTGAAGGATTCTTGGAAGATTGATTATGAGGCCACGAGAAATAGCCTTCTTGCCGGTAGGAAATTCGGGGCTGCGCATTTCGTGTTGCTTTCTGCCATTTGCGTGCAAAAGCCCCTTCTCGAGTTTCAGCGGGCGAAGCTGAAGTTTGAGGCCGAATTGATGAAAGGGGCCGAAGAGGACGATAAGTTCACATATAGCATTGTGAGACCAACAGCATTTTTCAAGAGCTTGGGGGGTCAGGTCGAGTTGGTGAAGGACGGGAAGCCTTTTGTCATGTTTGGGGACGGAAAGTTGTGCGCTTGTAAGCCAATTAGTGAGCAGGATTTAGCTTCTTTTATTGCAGACTGTGTGTTGAGTGAAGACAAAATAAACCAGGTTTTGCCGATTGGTGGGCCAGGGAAGGCTTTGACGCCTCTTGAGCAAGGGGAGATTTTGTTTAGACTTTTGGGGAAGGAGCCCAAGTTCTTGAAAGTGCCGATCGAGATTATGGACTTTGCGATTGGTGTCCTGGATTTCTTGGTTAAGATTTTTCCAGGATTGGAAGATGCAGCTGAGTTTGGGAAGATTGGACGGTACTATGCTGCGGAGAGTATGTTGATTCTGGATCCCAAGACGGGGGAGTACAGTTCTGATAAAACACCTAGCTATGGGAAGGACACATTGGAAGAGTTCTTTGAAAAGGTTCTACGGGAAGGAATGGCAGGTCAAGAATTGGGGGAGCAGACAATTTTTTGAATGATTGGTGCTGTGAAGGAAATGCGTTCAATTGCCAATAATTGGGTAAGGCAGCTTCAGTTTTGTAACATTTTCTCACCTAAGTTGCGGATCCTTACCCGGAAACTGATTGAGCATCTGTATAATCTGTGAGTAAGATATGTATGTAATGATTGATTCTTACTGACAATTCACAAAGTCTGTTATTCATAACTTTGAAGTTATTGATGTCTTATGCAATGTATTCACTACGTTGCGTAGAATTATGGCTTAGATGTTAAAAATGATCTGAAGAGTAATAATTTGCTTCAAAGATATGGTCCGATTGCAGAAACATATGCTGGCAGTAGAAAACTCATTTAAGCAAGGAAATCAGAATATCAAACGCCCTTGACTAATTATTACTGCTTCGTCAATCCTTGCCTGTTGAATTGTTGAGGCCTTCTGTATTCTCGTTGGATAGCTACAATTCCTGAAGGTACTTTTGAAGTTGTCCTGGAGGAACAATTTCCACAGTTTTGAGATTGATCTTAGATGCATTAGAAAAAAAGGAAACATGCGAAAAAAGAAATGCCACGCTAATGCAAGAGGAGGTTGGGGTTTCATAATGCGGTTGTCTTTGGAAAAACTTTTTGTAGGATGGTTCTCTTTTATTTCTTTGTTATTTTAATGTTCATGTTGTGACCCTGGCATGTTCGACGGATAGCTCATTCTGACATTTTATTTGCAGAAGACACTTCTAGGCAACCCAAAGTCTTTGCAGAAAGTCTCTCAGTGAGCATCAAGGTTCTTGTGGTAGTCTGATACACATCTTGATGCTGCTAGCTAGAAACTTGGTGTTCTTGCTAGATGTCATATATTGAATTTAGGCCTGAATGAAAAGATTTTCGACATGTTCTAGATTTTTGGAATTCCTCGAGACCATTGACACCTGCAGTTCCAGGGCATAGGAGTTAGGTTGGAACTAGACTATGTGAATGTGACGCCTTAACAAGTACCAAAGCATACTCTTGTTGCTTATTTGGGTTGATCATTTCAATTTGAAATCCTCCCAGGAGTATGAAGGTTTTTTTTTTTAGATATGATTTACATGCTAAACTGAGTCGAAACTGGAAATTTGGAAGGGCTGGGGAAAAAATGGTTAAAAAAGCTAAAAGAGGATGATTTGGCTGCAAGCTAATATCTAGGTGCTAAATGAAACGATGGACTTGAATGAGGATACCTTTCCAATGGGTTTCTCCTTGTTTAGCTTTGTCATGTAAATGCCATTCTTGTCATATCAGAATGAGGACCTTCTGTGGAAGAGGAGTTTGTAATGCACACTTCTTGCTGAATCAATTGCCAAGCTTTGGCCAGTCTCTTCTCCATGAAAAAAATTTCATGTCATTAAATATAATTCTTCTCGGACATAAAGAGTCAAAGAACAATGGTTCTCGGTCAAATTGGTCGACCTATTTTGCGTTTATTTGCTACTCCATGCTTTGTATGGGGCCTCTAAGAACCAATCACTTTGGTCGTGGTTAATTCCTGTTTTATGAATCAAGATAACCATTCGTTCCCGTATAAGTAGTCATTTATCTGTTCTTCTACCGTGAGAGGGGCTGATTGGGATTTTTACATATTTTGATGTATAGCGCCCAGCAAAATGTTCTCTTCATGGACCACTTCTCTCGTGAAATTTGAGACGAACTCAAATGTAGATAGAACGGGGAAAATTGTCAAAAAAGTCCTAAACCTATTGTACGGCAGCCAATTCAGTCCTAAACCTTTTAATTTTGCCAATTTAGTCCTAAATCTTTTCGATTCTTGCCAATTCAGTCCTTCCGGTCAATTTTGGCCGGCCGGCGGCTTAAATGGCATTTTTAAATATTTTTTTCCGAATTTTTTAATCTTTTTTTTGCCTCGCCGTCGTGGCGACGCCGAGGTGGCCTTGCCCAGCACAGGAGAGGCGCGACCTCGCCATAGCCTGGGTTGCAACGGCGAGGTCGCGCCTCGCCTGTGCGTTTTCCACCTCCAGCGTTTTTGTTCCATGAGCCTAACATCGCCTGCATCACCATTAGAGCGATGGAATCTGGATCCGTCCAAGATGCTCCACTGAAAGCGCAGCGACGGCGAGGTGGCCTCGCCAGATCTGGGCGGGCGAGGCGCGACCTCGCCGTCGTGACCCAGGCGACGGCGAGGCGGCCTTGCCCAGCACAGGCGAGGTGCGACCTCGCAGTCGCCTGGGTCGCGACGTAGGCGACGGCGAGGTCGAGCCTCGCCCAGATCGGGTGAGGCTTGACCTTGCCGTCGCGACCCAGGCAACGGCGAGGTCGCGCCTTGCCTGTGCTGGGCGAGGCGACCTCGCCCAGCCAGGGACCGGCGAGGCCCGCCCTCGCCGGTGGCCGGCGGGGCGAGCTTCGCTAGAGGCCGGAGAGGCCGGCGCTCGCCGGATCGGCTAGAGGGGAAAAACCAGAAAAAAAGATTAAAAAATTTGAAAAAAATATTTAAAAATGTCATGTCAGCGTCGGCTGGCCAAAATTGGCCGGAAGGACTGAATTGGCAAGAATCGAAAAGGTTTAGGACTGAATTGACAAAATTAAAAGGTTTAGGATCTGAATTGATCGCGTGCATAATAGATTTAGGACTTTTTTTGACAATTTTTCCGAATAGTATGTTACAACCCTTGACGTGTCATAATAATATATCTGACGAATGTCCATGTCACTATAAATGCCAGAACAAGACATATGCAGTGACAATAAAGAGGACAGATGATACATATTTTATTCACAAGCAAAACACGTCTATGATCTATCTACCTGTACTAGAGGTACAAAACATAGACAACATCTTCACAGGGGGATCACGAATAGCCGAGCCAAAGTCACACTTTCTATTTTGGGATCTTCTTGTGCAGAGAGAAGATGGAGAGGGTGATGAGGAGGATGAGAACAAAAGCAGCAAGGAGTGAGATTGCAATGGAGGCTGCAAGGTGCTGACAGAACTTGTCATAGACATTGCAAACCTTTTTCCAATCCACATGGCTGTTCCCCTTCAGCCCTATGTATCCAACCCCTCCTGCTGTGCCTGTTGCTGAGGCCACTAATCCCAGCATCACCTGGGCATTTCACGACACAGTTTGATCAATGTCAGTGCCACAATGAGCATGCTCATAAATTATGAGACGTTCGTGCTCTTGGGCCGCTAAAAAAGCACGGTCCATTTCTTTACCTGTCATGGTGTTAAAGGAGATACTGGAACAAAAAATTGTTCATTTACCCAAAAAAAAAAAGGAGTGCTAAAGTTTGGTGCCTGAGAGCTCACCACATCCCAGAGCACAAAGAAGAGGAGGAAGCTGGCTGAGAAGACTGGCTTCAAGATGACTGAGATGGATGCAAGTGCTGTGACGATGCTGTAGAGGCAAGTCACCGAGAGCGCCACTACAAAGTATCTGCAAAAATTAACTATCGTCAAAAAAGGTGAAATTATTTATTGGAAAGCTTAATTGTTATTTATGGATTATGGCGAATAAACTGTCCTCCAAACAAAATTGGTTCTTGCACCGTTTCTGGGCCGGACATACTTAATTATTTCCGAAATCACTAAGGATTTATTTACTTTTCTCTCTACCCGATATAGATAAGTTTCATGCTGTTTGTGAGTGCATAGTACTATTGAATTTATCAATAATATCGGAAGTAAAATAAGATATTAAGTTTGTAAGGACTATTAGTCGCTTCATAAATGTGTGAAGAGCGATTGATGTGGTCATTGATTTTCTCTCTTTTTTCTTCCTTTCTGTTCGTTTTGGAGCGAGAGGCTTCCACAGCATAGATACAACTTGTCACCTTCATAGACATGCATAGACTTTGACATTTTGTCTACGGCATTAATCATTATTGTCGCAGCTCATGTTTTTCGTTCGTAGAAGGCACCCCAGATTAGAAAGCCACGTCAAACCAATCGATGGACATGGTATTAAAGTCTAGGCAATCAAGCAGTTTCTGGTTTTCTTTTCTTGAACAGTGAAATTTCAAGTTTTTGGCTTCTTTCGCATGTCTGCGGCATTTTCCAGGCATATTATCTAACTTTATAGATAGATTGATATTCGAACTTAATCAAGACTAATGATAGTTTTTTTGATTTAGAATATCCTGGTTTTCCTGCAAAAGTTGCAGAAAGATGTTCTTCAAGATCGTCACTCATGTCTGACACTTTCTCACTAAAGAGGAAACAGAATCAAGAATTTAAGCACGCCCGCATAAGAAAATAACGCATGATGATATCTACGAGCGATTTAAACACTTCTGAAAGAGATTATTCGGTATGGGCTTCGCGGTACATGGTCGAACTTGAGGGGGTAATCGCAAAGCTAGCTTTAAAAGGGGAAAGAAGAAGCTAACTTCTTGATGGGTATGAACCAACTTCTTCAAGCAAGACGGAGAAAGGCACGATCGAAATGAAGTTCGACCCTAAACTCGAAGGAAGGGATTGGCTCGGGCAGGCTCTCGAGGAGCATATCGATCCGTGTCTAGCATCTTCTCAGTCAGGCAAGGAAGAAATAGGCAGCAAAAGGAGTGAGAAGTAGAGCTAGGAAGCAAGGGAAGCTGGGTAGGTCTACAGTCTCCAGGTCTTTCAAATCCCTTTATAAAAAAACAGTAAGTAATGCATGAAACCATATCGGCAACTAGTGACTTACGTGAAAGCAGGAGAGTTATCGAACTTAGCCTCAGCTGCCACTAGGCGTGATACTCTTGGATCGAAAACTACTTTCGTTTGCTTGCTCGTGACCATGACCAAGAGCGCAGCCAGCGTGGAAGCGAACAGCAACCCTCGAAGAGCCACGTCCGCCGTGAACAAGCTCGCTGCGTCTGGAGGACCCGCGGGCGGAGGTAGGGCCTCCTCTTTCGACGGCGGCGCTGCCTCGGGGTCGGCTTTTTTCTCTTCGGTCGACATGGATGCTCTAGGTGCAAGTTGGGCTCGAGTATGTGGTTATGGCCGCAAAGAGTTGCGTGGTCTATTATGCACACGGAGAAGTGGGAACGAGTCGATTCTTCATATTATTCATTAGATGAATTAATTAATTGTTTTTGGGCTGAATAAGGACGTGGAATGTGAACGATTTTGGTGGGTTGGAGTGACAGGTACGCAAACCCATTTCCCACGTGGCCAGTGGCCAGTCGCCGGTGCCAAAAATAAAGAAAAAAAAAAGAAAAGAAAAGAAAAAAGAAAAAAAGAGAGAAAAAAAATAATTTCGATTTAAAAAAATATTTGTATAAAAAAGGGATGGGCTTAATGGGTGGATTGGAAATGAGTTTCACACTCAATCCATTAAGATCCATTTATGATAAGCTTAAAACTTTAAGACCCATGTAAGATGGGTTTTTCAAAGTTGTATTGATCAATTTATGACCATTTATTTTTTAAATGGGTCATATACAGGTTTACTGGATCGTTACATATTTGTATGGAGATCCTTTGGTTTCTTCTTGTATTTATAGTCATGTATATGTCACCGAGTTGGAAGGGTCGACTCGGACAAATGACAAGACAGAGAGCTGTGGATACATGCAGTAACTTCAATTAAGTTCAGGAACTGGTATACATGATGACCAGGGTATATTGTCATGAGCCAAATAGAATGGTGTTGCATATGGCCCGTCGATCCGGGACACACGATGAACTTTTGCTCGATATTCAATTTTGATATGTGAACTTCATTTCGATTTGATCCTTGTTATTATGCGGAATTGCTCGAATCGGTCTTTTTCTTTAAGTTCTTCTTTTCATCGAATCCATTTTGTAGTTGAAACAGGATGGACCCAGTCCGGAGGAGTTAATTTAGGTAATACGTTTATGGCTTCGCGGAATATATATAACTCTAAGCTTTTCTTTATCACGAGAGCGAGTTTCTACGATGCGATTTTTTCTTTGTGTGGAGAAATTCAATAGGCCGTTTTGGTCTATGATCCAGTGGTGTTTTCTGATAGCTTCCTACAACAGAATTTCCGGGTAAATTATCTTAGAGATTTGAGAAATTTCATTTCCTTCCATTTGATGTCTGAACAGGTTTAGAGATTTTGTTTACTTTATTGAATAGCTTTCTAAATATCACAAGAATTTTTTTTTGGGCTATTTGTATCCCTATTAGTCTCTTTTTTTGGACTAAGCAGTTTTCGACACTGAATCAAAATTAATATCGGGAGCTTTTCTTTGTTGTGCTTCGTGCGGGTGCGGCTTTCATGCGCCGCGATTGTGTATTCGTGTTTGCAAATTACGGTTTGAGTTATCCTCGTTTTCACTGCATCACTCAAGCAGTCACTTTGAGTTCAAAGGGGAGATATTGTGCTAGGAAATGTTCTGTCTCATGTGAACTCCAAGTCTACTACTGTCTTTAAACTCAGATTGCTGAAGTCAGTTGGTAAAAAGTAATCTGATGAAGCTTAGAGGGTTAATGATAAATTGAGTAGATTACTTAGTTGCCAGTTGCCACTTCGTGCCATGTGTCAAATTCTCAACCTATTCTGTGCTCGGCGGCAACGTTATCCCTTGCTGCGCTTGTAATCTCATGAAATCTCGGACCATCGACATTTAAGTATGTAACTTGCGGGTTTCGATGTGAATTTTTCGATACAAGTAATTGAATGTAATATGCCCATCTACTGGACGTCGAGTAAATTGGAATTTGAGTCGGTAACTCAATCCAAATATTTGCAATAATCATGTATTGATAATAGTGGTAGATTTTGATTCAAAATTAGATGACAGTTGATACCTTACTTCATAAGAAAACGATAAATTAAAATACACCATCGAGGTTCTTCATATTATCTTAACTGCTGGATCGAGGTCTACTACAAATCGGAAATCGTTGAAGAAAGACGAGATAATATTTCATTTTACTTTTTTAGTCGTTTTCCCTCTCACACAATATAAAGTTTTCTTGAAGTCCTTTGATATTCTTCATTTTACGATGTTTCACGCCGAAAAGAAGTCATATCCACCCTTAATTAGTAATTAATTAATCACAGTATTAACGTAGACTTTTATGCTCCACATATAAACCCTATATAAAAAAAAAATATACCAAGAAAAGGAAGAAAGGAATTCTGTCCCTGGGGCCACATTCAACTACAGAAACTTGCCTCCCATCTAACAGTCATTTGATAGCAACAGCTATAATGATCATGAGCAGCCGGTCAAGTACAAGTGGAATCGATTTGTGTATGAAGCGTGTTGAAACTTACACGTAATTAGTGCACAAATTGTAATTCTGGAGGATTGCGTTTGGTCCATCGTGTCCACCTTATCTACACAAAATGCATGCACGCATGTGGGTACCAAAGCCATTCCTGATATAGTTCAAGTTTTTCGACATTTTTAATGATGTAACAAGCGATGCAAGTAGGTTCTGTATCCTGGGCACCACGACTGGACAATTCAATCCAATAATAGCAAGAAGCCATGGCGGTCGCTGTATACCATCGTCGAACGAGTCCAGATTAAATGCACTCTCTTAATTTTGGACAGCAAAATTCTGTCAGAAATAGAATATAATAAGCTGCAAAACCAGACAGAAAATGAAAGGACCACCTTATCTATTGTCTGTCTCTGAACTGCCATTTGGTCCATCTAAAATTCGTGAGCCAAAAGATCCTCTCTGCAGAAACTAGTCATCTGAGGATTGTTCTCAGAATTCAATTGTTGATGATGCACCTATTATCTCCAATACACTTGCATTTTTCGGGGAAAGAAAAGAATCATTATCTGAAAGTACAGGAATGATAACATTCAAATCAAGAAGGAGCAGATCTTTCAATGGTTCGGGGACCTTCACAAGAGAACTTCAGATGCTGGTTGCTCGAGACCTGATTACCGCACTTGTCTTGCTTCTCAGCGGAATTGGCTGAAACTAACATGGCAACCACACATAGGAGACAGATCTGCAGCTAGTGCATTCAATCTCCAATTCTGTCATACTTTAACAAAGGGCGCCTTCGGTGGTTAGTTCTTCCATATTGACTTTCACCTCCAAGCCTGTGTTTAATAAGGAACTAACCATGGCCGGGATACCAGATTTGAGAACAGCAGCCAATGCCTACATGAGCGAAAAGAATGCGAGGTTGTAAAAACTTCAAGATAGTTAAATGCAGCATATATGCAACCAGCAACAGGAATGATTGGGAAAGTATTACCAGAGCAATATATATCTACAAACAAGCAATATTTCTACTTCTACCCAAAGTGATATGGATATTTTGCCAAAGGAAGTACCTTGCGGTCATCTTCTGACTTCTTCCGTTTGATAACCTCGAAAGGCCACTCGCTGACAAGCTTTTGAAGTTCAACCTTAATGCTGGATCTCTTAGCATCAGGTAAACTCTGGCATCGATCCAAGGCATTCACATCGTGAGACCTAAGAAGCGATATCTGAACAAACGGAGCCTACATAGGTGTATTTCCAACTTTATCTAATTCAGGAGTCTGAGATGATCTTTCGAACTCACTATTAGGACCATGGAACACACTTGTGTAATTTTAACCAAACAGTACAGCAAGCACCAAATACGAAACCCAAATCACCCAGCCACCCTCAACAAGAGGATCTGTCACAGTAATTTTATCTGAGCACATTATTGGGGACAATTCAGTATGTCTTCCACTAATTGCTTTATTCCTTAAAAGAATATGGAAAATTGAAGGACTAGCTCAAAGGCGGAGGTAATTTAGGATAGCAAGTCCTTGAGCTAGGGGATCACGCCAGATGGTGAGCATATTAATAATAGCTATAGATTCTCTGAGAAGTGAGAAGCACCTGATTCAAGACGTGAATGACTGTAGCAGCCTCCTCAGGTTTGCCTTCAAGTAGAAATCCCTGCACAAAAAATCGAATATAAAACCGTTTAGTACACCATAAAACAAGTAAATGACATTCAGTTAAATTTTAATCTTACACCGGAGTGCTAAAAGCCACAAAAAAATTCCGAATAGAGAAAAAGTAGTCATATCTCCTTTGTGTGTTGACAATGAATATTCTCATGCCCATAGGTGCTTCATGTCCTAGGGTGTGAGCCAAATTTGGTTTATTCAAGCATTAACTCTCACTTTTCTTGGCTGTAGACCTCTCAGCTGGTTTACCAAGAACTTTGTTCTGATCTCTATTGCAATTTTACCGTTTTCCCATAATCAGATTTTCTCATGCAAGAAGACCAAGTGCTTTCAAGGTCTGATATTTGTGATTTCAACAGTTTGTGTTTGCAAACTACCTTTGCACATGAGAACCCACTGCCCACGGTGTGCTGCTTCATAGACTCAGATCTTAACTTCTCAATTTTCCATAGAGATTCAACGTCTCCTAAAAAGGGTAATTTCCGTCAAACCACTAAATAAGATAAAGAAGCATAATCTCAGAACAAATAAAGAAACAAAGACGTTGAAAGACACAGTGTAGCGAAATTCTTTTTATTTCTTATTTCTACCTTTTTGTTTAGGGAGAGAAAGAAATCATTGTACAGAAGAATATATTCGAGCACATTCCGTCTTTTATAAGTAAGTGGCAGGACCTGGATGAGAACTATTTGTGGGAAGAAATAGAAAATAAAAATTGCTGAGGGACAAGGGCTTGAGAGCAGCAAAGGGAGACAGAGCAAGTGTTTCTCACCTACTTTTGCAGCGAACTCCATCCAGATGTCAAATGCAGCTCTATGCAATTTCACTCCATCCTTGACAAATCTCTTCGAATACTTTGTGAGCAACCCCCAATTGTCTGTATTATAACAAATGCTGCAAAAATTTTCCATGGAAACAAGGATGTCAAAGAACATGAGTAAACTATTAGATTGAGAGTAGCAATGCACACAATATGATTAAAATAAACACAAGCTGATTAAATCATCTACAAAAGACACTTATAAACTGGATAAATTGCTTGATAACTATGTAGTACATTTTACACAATATTTAAGTGCTTTAATGGCTTACTACATGATAATAACATCCTTCTCAGGATAAACAGCATGAAAGCAGGATAAACAGCACGGAAGTGAACCTGAAAACAATATCGGCTGTGCTGGGTTGCAATGGCAAGTTATTTGTCTTCAAAAGCTTCATAACTTCCTGCATGAGGGTAGCATCTTTGTGCTCTTTAGCATATTGCTGCATTTCAATACCCCAAGTTAGCAGAAGAAATGTGTAAATAAAACAAATGGAAAGAAAATAATCACTTGATATAGATACACATCATCATTACCAATACATGGTTTGCAGAGCCAATTGTAGGGGTCAATCCATAGACATTATGCTTCCACAAGGCCTTCTTACCTACAATTTTGTCAACCCTTAGTTTCTATCATGATGGACTATTTTGCACCACGCAATTTAAATTCTTAGCCTAAATAAGGATTGCTGCAATTAATATAGATTCTACTTATATCATGTACTCGCAGTAACAATTAATTGCTGCAATCTCCTGACATGAGCTATTCTATGGAACTGCAGTTTGATTTGATTTGTTTTGCTTGAAAATCATGAAGAGCTTAACTACTAGAATCAGCACGAACTGATAACTACTGAAGCTATTAGTTCATAAAAACACGTCTGCCCAAAGTGAATGCTCTTTGCTAAGCTTCAACAAAGAATTCAATAACCTGAAGTGGAGGTATCATTCAAGAAATCAGAGTCTTACAGAGCCAGCAATGTGCGGAAAGACCCATTTACAAAGATTAAGTGTTTGACACATATTAAGTTGGATTGAGCTTAACAATGTCCAAGTCATAAACGAGTTAACAAGTTTGTACATAAAAAATAAAGATGTCATGATAGGCCCGTTTAACCATTTAAACACATTGAAGCATGTCGAGCAAGTTAACATGTTACTCACACAAGACACGTTTATACACATTTAACAATTTTATATGTAATTGAATTGAATGTGGTTTCACACATTCACATATGAAAAACTATTTCTTGGATATGTTACATGTGTCATGTTATTTCCATCCACGTGCTTAATAGATGTGTTGCATCTGTGTAAACAAAATTCTGGTTTACATAATTGACGCAGCAAGGAAAAAAAACACAAAAGCACAACTTGCTACCAGTGGGGTGGTCAAAAGTTCTCATAAGCAACTGAATTTGTTCTCGAAGCCCGACAGGCCAGTGGTAAAAAGATCATTTGAGAATAGACAACATACTATAAAATGATTGTGCTAATAATAGGGTCTACATGTAGCAACAATTGAATGCAGAAAAGGAATCAGGTAAAGATATTAGCAAAATACAAAATTTTTGAACTTGGCACACAACTCGTGTAGATAAAGCTTACCAAAGTCAAGAGCCCTAACACGCACGCATGCTTTTGTGACTTCCCGACAAAGGTTGCAGTTAAAATTCTCATGAATTCGAAGATTCGACAGTCTCTGCAATGAAAGGAAAAAACAGGTTCATTTATCAACTATTCAATAATTATAACTTTACTTCTCAAGTGGAGAAAGAAGTCAACTGACAAATCTGCGTAGGTTCTGCAAGACACCAAAGAGAAGCTTAATATCCTCTCCGTTCTTGCAATTTTCAATCATTGACCACGTCCATGCGTTTGGAGCCATCGTTCTTTTCGTATTAACGGATTCAATAATTTTATCATACATCTCCTTCACGGTCTCTGCATGATATAACAAGAACCAAGTATCAGAGAAAGAACTACACAATTTGTCAAGACACATATCAGATGGAGAAAAAAGAAAAACCTGTGGGGGGTTCCTCCTTTTCAGCATTTGCTTCGGAAGAATACGGTAAATGCAAAATTATTGAATAAGGGGCTGCAGGCAATCTGCTGCCATGAACCAGCCCTGTGAATTTCAACGGCATCACATCAAAGCCCTGTACTGCCAAGAGAAATGCACCTCCGTTTTGTACCAATAAGGAAACAAACTAATTCAACCCAGAACCGACATTCAAGAACACGAAGCAACTCGACTCGACGAAACAATTCGACACTATCGTTTCTATCACACAATCATGTCTCCGATATCATATATACGAAGCAAACACAATGGACACAACTAAAAAAAATACGACATTTCAATTAACAAGCACAATCCTCACAGCATAATCATCCCTCCGTTTCAACTTGACTACACCAGGCGCACACATCCCTCGGATGAGTTATTCAGACTTCTTCATCAATCATCAAATTCTCCACCCCCTCACATCGAGACATCATCAAACTCAACCTAAAAAAAGCACACCCGCCCCCCCCACACTAACAAAGAACCATCACTCTGGCATCCACAATCCACCGTCGAAATTCCTCTGACGGACGAGAAGCGCGCGCTACCTGCGAAACCGAGGGAACGAGCAGCAGCGGAGGAGAAGGAGGAGGAGCTGCGATTTCGACATGATTGCGCACAAATCTGAGCGCATTCCATGACTTGGCAGTCGTTCGGGGGGATGAATCCGGCCGAGCCGAGATGAACCGGAGGCCTGAGAATGCGACAGAGCCTGCGAGCTCTCGCGGCGGCGTGCATGGCTCCGGCGCGATCGAATCAAACGAGCCGATGAGTTCTCTCGCGCCCTGAAGGTCGTCGTGTTGTGTGCCGAGCGAGGTTTTTCTCTTTGGCTTGTTCAGGGTTTTACGAGGAGGAGGAGGAGGGAGAGATGCGGTGATGTTCTCCTGCGGCGGCGTCCACGGCCGCTTACGGTGCGGAACAATCGAAAACTTTTTGCAAATGACACACTCTCAAATGGAAGAAGATAGTGTTTAATATATGTAGGGAGGATAAATGTTTAGAAAATGCTTATTATTTAGCCAAATAAATAAATATATTAAATTATGGCAAGTTGAGAGAAATTCAAATTCCATTTGGGAAGTAAAGTATTTGTGGGATTAATTGATAATATCTTGATTATTCATTTACTGACATTATTACAATTCACCTTCGCAAAAAGATGAGATTAAGCTTTCTAACATGCTTGCTCTCGATCTATTTTGATTTAGTGGTTCACGAAAGAATTTGTACGTGGATTCAGAATATTGTATAATTTCAATTTCCTATACAATTAAGTACAAACAATTTCATGTTTGACGACCATATGAATTTTGGTTCATGAGGTCGATTGATATTGGGAAAATGTCATAAGCATTTCCCGCTTTTCATCCAATGACTTATTACATGCCTCTAATTTAAAAATACCAAATACATATGAGTTTTGCCTTTTGGAGATCACGTTGCACTTCTGCATCAATTAGCCTCGTGTTCCTATTATAAAAAAAAATGTCATTTTCTCTAAAAAAAATATTTATCCCTAGGTCCTAAATTCTTATGCCCATCAAAAGCACTCAAAATCAACTGAAAATTAAATCACTCGTGGAGCTAGAGACTAAAATAAGTTTTTGAGAAGGGACAATTTGGTCTTTTCAATATTGTATTTGCTTAGGTGTATGCGAATGTTAATTGTAAAGTAAGTTTTTCATTGAACTACCCACAATAAGGTTGGGTTGGAAATAAAAATGAACCGATAATAAAAAACGGACTGTCGTTTTCTAGATTCAAGGGAAATACTCCCCTTTTTAACTTGAGCTGCAACTGTCTCCTCTCCACCCTCAATCCACAACAGAAAAAACTCCTTCCTTTTGTCCAACACGGAAATAAACCGCTCAAGCAAAATCAAAACTGCAACAGACGAAGAACACAAAAGCCGAAACTTCATTACAATCTGATGCATAGAGAGACAGAGAATCAATCCTCCAATCTAATTCCTTTCGATTGACATTCTTCTTGACGAAAATGGGTTGCGGGAAGTCGAAGCATGATGTCGCCACCGGAAACACCATTACCAAAAGCAGGAGTTCGATCGCCAATCCCGAGAAGAGCAAACAAGTGGAACAGAACGTCCCTCAGATGGAAGCAATTGGGAATGATGCGGCATTACTTGTGCAACAAGAAATCGATAATGCGGTGAGCCAGGACACAGGAACTGCAGCTGATGTTAAGGACGCAATGGAACATCCCGAGCCCGAACGGGAAGAAGAGAGCAAAGAAGAAGAAACAAAGGCCGAGGATGAAGACAGAGAGGAAGAGAAGCACGTAGAGGAAGAAAGGGAGATCGAGTTGGAGCGGGAGCTACAGCCGGAGACGGAAACGGTAGCTGAAGAGGAAGAGGCAGAGCCAGGGAGATTCATATCCCGCGACTCGCCGGATCATTACTTCTCTCCGAGAAGAGACGAGGAAGCACTGGAAGGGATCTTGTCCGAGGGGCTCTCCTCCGAGTACAGCTCTCCACGGCATGAACTGGTCAAGGAGGGCGAGTACGGTCAAGTGTTGGTGGAAGAGAAGAATGCAACTGGACTGGAAAAGGCAGAGGAATTGAGGGAGAAGGAAAATGACTCGGCTCCTAACGAGGTACTCGAATAGATCTCTGACAATTTAACTGCTGAGATTACGCGTCCAGGATCGCAGACATATGCCTTGACGTGGATGACGTTTATGCTAATTCACAAAACCCGTTCTTTTCCCTTGATTTTGATACATTTACTATGCATTTAAACATTGACGTGAACACCAAGAAGTACAAACATCTCAGACTGACCGTTTGAGCTGGTTTTCTGATTGAGATGGTTAGCTCCTAACAAAAATGACGGAACCATGTTTCTGTGCAGGAATTTGTGGCTCATTTAGCAACTGGAGAAGTAGCGAAGAGCAATTGAATCGAAGAAGCAGGATCGCAGCCTTTTATGCCTTAGTTACTTAAAAATTACGGTGATGTAGTTCAGTTCTCGATGCCAAAAATTGCCGAACAGAGAACAGACTTAAGGGTTGGAGCCTCGGTTGTAATCTATAGGATCTAATAGTGTGCATTGGGGTTGGAGAGATGATCATTATTCCTATATATCACTCCTTGAATTACTATCACCTTGCCGCGTTACACTCTATCAGAAGATGAAGTTGAAAACAAAAGGATCCTTGAATCACATAAGGTGATCAAATCGTAATCAAAGAATCACGGAGGGTAAGTACTAAAAAAAATTCAATTGTGCAAATGCAATTTGAATGTCGAGCTAAACTTGAAATAATGACGGAGTATTGGCACTTCATTTTTATTTTAACACATCAAATGAATAGCAGTGCATCGGTATTTTATTCTGCTCGGAATTCTTATAGACTAATGGTCTTACATGTCTGCAAGTCTTGGCAGAGAAAATTGAGGTTGTTAGTCTCTTGGAAGTGGAGGGCCACATCTCCAGAGCCAACATCAGGAAGAACCAATTTTCGTGCTTAGATATGAGAGGAGCCATTTCTTTTCTTAATCGTAGTCTATGACCTTGGAGCCTAGTGCTGATACATTTTTAAGAATCATTCAATGTGGACATCTTTATTTCTGAGATGCGTGACAATGATACCATGTGCCTGTCCTAATTTTGATAGATTAATTATATAGGAAGCTGATATTTTGTTTCCATTCGTCCCCAGATAGAGGGGACTCACAATCACCACGACTAGATTATTGAAAAAAAATTATATCGGAATCATCCGTGAAATTGCTGATGAACCTTATATCATGCATTAGATGCTAAAAAACACAAGACAACAACTGTTTGGCGGTACATTGGAAAAGAATGGAGTGTATACTGTGCATTGTTGACTTTGTCACAATCAAATTACCCTGCAATATTCTATTGAAACAGTATCACCGTGTCTAGCAAACTAGCATCTAATTGGTCATATCTGGTGATTGTCTTTTCTGCCGATCTTTTCAAGGATTTCTTCAGGAGAAGAATTTGAGTAGGCATCACTGAAGATGGCTCTACTAAAAAACGCTGTAAACAACGGAATAGCAGACCCGGCTACTGGCGCATACACTACAAAGAAATTCAGCATATGGTGGTTTCATGGGGATTTGACTACGAGGTGTTCTTGAATTTTAGAGGACCGCACAGTCGATTAGGTATTACTGACTTCCTTTACATCAGCCTGATTGATGCAGGAATCTGTGCTTACAGAGATGATGAAGAGCTGCGCAATGGGGAAGAGATTGGCTCGGAGCTTCTTCGAGCAATCAAGCAGTTGAGAGTCTCCATACCCATCTTCTCAAGACGATATGCCTCTAGCAAATGGGGTCTCAAGGAGTTGGTGCAGATGGTGGAGTGCAAGAAAACCAAGGGACAGAAGATCATGCCCATTTTCTATACCGTGGAACCTTCTGAGGTCCGGTACCAAACTGGCGGGTATGGACAAGCCTTCCTTGAGCGTGAAAACAAGAGGCCATACAATGATGTAACTATTAGCGAGTGGAAGGCTGCTCTAAGTGAAGTCAGAACACTAAAGGGATGGGACCTACAAAGCATGCCCAACAGGTGATTACTTCTAAGATTAAAACTATCGCAATAGCATCCTTATAATGCAACTCAATTCTGATTGAGTCCTTGCTGAAATTGTCTTATTTGGAGAATCGAAGTTGAATGTATTTCTAGAAAAATTAGAAATCATTCAGAAATCATGCCAAAAATGGCATTCTTCACTGGAATTTAGCTTTTTCTAAGCTTAACTAGATGTTATAAGTCCACTTTCATCCTTTTCTTGTTGAATAGCATTATTGAGCTCGTGTAATTTCAAAAGGATCCTGTCCAAACGGGGTGTTTAAGTTTTCTAATTTGGTTTGGCCTGACCAATTGTTGTTCAACCCAATTTTCTAATTCAATGTGTTTTTCAACTCCAAAAACATCAGGCACGAAGGTGACTTCGTGAAAACAGTCGTCAAGAAGGTTTTCAGTTAGTTGAAAAAGAGTTATTTGGTATTATCGGATTGTTTGGTTAAATTGGACAATCACGTGAGTGAAATCATGAGAATGATTGGCCCTTATACACATGAAGCACGGATTGTTGGTATCCATGGAATGGTTGGTGATGGAAAGACTACTCTTGCTAAAATCATCTACAATCAACTTTCACCTGATTTTGAGGAGTGTTGTTTCCTTTCTAACATTCAAGAAACTTTGGAGATGAAGGGTGTTGAGTACTTGCAGAATCAACTGATCTCCAACATCCTCAGAAGGCAATGGACAGATATGAGTAACACAGACGAAGGGATTAAGATGATTAAAGATCGGCTGTGTTGTAAAAAGCTTCTCCTTCTCCTCGATGATGTTAACAAAAAGAATCAATTGAATGCACTTATGGGCAAGTGCGATTGGTTTGGTGAAGGAAGTAAGCTTATCATCACTAACAAAGAGGTTCTCAATGTTATTGAAGTGGATTGCACCTATGAGCTTAACTGCATGGATTACAACAAATCTCTTCAACTTTTCAGCAAATATGCCTTTAGAAGAGATTCTCCTTTGGATGATTATCTCACCCACTCCAGAAAGGCGGTAGGCATTGCCCAAGGTCTGCCATTAGCTCTCAAGGTTATAGGTTTGTCTTTATTAGGCAGCAAGAAAGAAAAGTGGGATGTCATACTGAAAAAGTTGGAAAAAGTTCCTCACGAGGAAGTCAGCAGTAAGCTGAAGCTAAGTTACGAGGCATTGGATGATCGACAAAAGCATGTCTTTCTTGATGTAGCTTGTCTTTTCATTGGATGTGACAAAAATATTGTGATCCAAATGTAGGATGACTCTGAACTTTTTCCGGAAGAAGCTTTGGAAGTTCTGCAGCATATGTCCTTGATAAAGATTGGAGAAAAGAATAAGTTGTTGATGTATGATCTATTAAGGGATATGGGGCAAGAAATCATCCGTCGAGATAGTAATATGGTGACAGAGAAGCATACTAGATTGTGGAATCACAAGGAAGTATTTGATTTGCTGATAACAAACCCGGTAAAAGCTCCCTGCTACCACTCACAATTTGGCTACTCTCTCTTTTATGATAGCACGAAACATGAGGGGTTAATAATGTGTTTCCTTTTTGGTTTTCCTTTTTGGCAGGAAAAGTAAAAGTTGAAGCTCTGTCTCAAGTTTCGCAATGAGGCAGAACACTGTTTTGCAGATGAGGAGTTCACGAGACTTCCAAATCCAAGGTTCCCTGAATTTAATGGCGGAATGAGCTGAACCGGTCTATGGAACTTTGGAATCAGAAAAATCACCTCGAAGTCGTGTTTGGAGCAGCAGTGAGGACTGAGGAGCTTATGGCAGAATTTCCATCTTCCGATCAACTTTTTCCTGAAGAAGTCACATCTACTTCCAATTGCGACGGCTTTCTTGGTAAAATATCCCTCTAAAGTTTGACATAGCCAAATTATCCACGAGGAATCTAATCGTTCTCGATCTATCAGGGAGCATCATTACTGATCGTTGGGACGGTTGGACCCATATAAAGGTGTGACATATGCTAGGAACCTATACTGTCCATTAGGTTGTGTCTGTTAAATCCAGAACTTGATCTTTCCATTATTTTTTTTTAGTCTTTTTTGTTGTTGCAGATGGCGAAGAGCTTAAAAGTTCTGAATATGTCGTGTTAAGGCTACTTGGTTAATAACTCCCGACTTCTCAGTACTTGCAAATTTAGAACGACTGACCCTAATGAACTGTGCAAACCTGGTTGGAGTCGATAAATTCAATGGTCAGTTGCAGCGCTTGGTTTTCTTAGATGTCAGCTGCTGCCCGAACCTTTGTGACTTGCCAAATGAAGATTAATAAGCTAAAATCTTTGAAAGTGCTCCTTTTACTTTGCACATCAATATGGGACACTAGACTTCGAGCCCGTGGCATGGCATCATTAGCCTACCTGAGAAAACATAGATAGCAAAAGGAAAATATAGAAAATTTATGCTGTTGTTTCATGTTTGTCACTCTTTGCATTGCGTTCTTTCTCACAGTTTTTGGGACGCTTGTAAATTTCCATTCCCTAAATCATTTGGTAAATTCGTCTGGTCACATCTAAATTTTTGCCTAAAGAACTTTGCATTTCATAAGTAAACGACTTTCGGTTAGCCCGTTTATACTTGAATTTAAATAATTAAGGGTGAAGGAATGAAATCTTGGTTTTGACATCTTATGTCCGGCCATCCAAGGGCAAAATGGAGGATTAAACTTTTGGTCGGCACATGTTAAATTGTGCTAAATCGAGCATTTTATCTTCAGAATATACTTAGCCTAATGAGGGACTATGAATCTCGCCAGTGATATGAAACAAAGGACAGGTGAATTGTGCACATGAGAATAAGAAATTTGGAAGGAAATCAATTGGAAACGAAGTGAGTAGCCGGCAATATAAGGAAGGAAAAGATTGAATTTCTTTCCTCGTGCTTGAGGGAAACGGCTGGAAATTGAGGATTCAAAGAAGGCGACAAAGTAAAGAAAATAACAAAAATAGAGAAAGAAAGAAACAAATCCAAGAAGGAAACTGAGAGATTTTGTGGGACCACAATCAGCCGTTCTAAAAGTTTAAGCTGTTAGATGAACGCATGGTTTAATATGTAGGGTTAATACCACGAAAAACCCCAAACTCGTGATAAATTTACAAAAAACTAATGTTTTGACCACCAAAAATTAATGTTTTGACCACCAAAAATCCCAAATTGGTACATTTATGACAAATTTACTATTCGTTAGCTATCGTTAAATTAGATTAATATCACAAAAAATCACAGATTGATACACCTGTGACAAACAGAAGGTAAAATCCCAAATTAGTACACCCGTCAACTGTCACGTGTCATCCAACTTGGCAATTCGACGGTAAAATTTAACGGAAATTAATAGAGGGTAAATTTGTCACAGATATATTAGTTTGGAGTTTTTCGTGATCAAAAAATTAGTTTGGGGTAAATTTGTCATAGATATATCAGTTTAGGGTTTTTCGTGATATTAACCTTAATATTTAATTGTTCTAATACTTCCCCGCTTAGTTTGGTCTTGTTGCCTATCTCTGATATCATGTGAGATTTTGTGAGACAATAACCAACTGTTCTAAAAGCTTAAATTGTTAGATGAAGGCGTGGCTTAATATTTAATTATTCTAATAGAAACGAACATTTTCTAGCCAAGATTGGCTGCTGGGAATCTCGGCATTTCAAGGGCAAATCACGGGAGCGAATTCTCGGTGATTGCAAAAATTCACGAGAGGGAATTCTTGGGTTTCTTGACATATCATTTATCACGTTAGAGAGAGCTTTAAGGGAGAGATCTCTTATTGAAAAGCAACTATCCTTCGACAAAAGAAACGATGGACCACTTCAAGACGTTCGTACATACATAAACTTGGAAACAAAACAATTAAGACAACGTATGACCTCTTCTTACCGTTTCATTGAGCTCGATACATTCTTATTTATTATGTAATCAACTTTATTCTCTAAGTATATTGATATGCAGTGCCAACACTCCTTGGAGTAAAATTAAGTTCTTTCCCTGAGCTTTGATAGGCATGCGCCCTAAAAGACTACCGACCGACCTTCCGTCTGCGCCTCCGACATCTCCATCTCGCCTTGATGCACACCCTTGTCCTCCCTCGAGATCTCCTCCAACAATCTGTCTTTGGTCCCGGTCACCATGAACGTGCAACAGAACCCTAGCATGTTTGGGAACACCAAAATCAACATGGCACATTTTATTTTATGTGTGCGTCCGTCGAGCATGTAACTCTGGACCCCAAAGGCCGCGACCAGCTCCTTGGCCTTACCCGCCGATGCGCTTATAGCGTGGCATGTGTAACATCCTCAATTTCAGTCCCCGGGAAATGGCTATGGATCGGTTTGCTAAGAGATCAGGGATCGGTCTTGGACGCGACACGTGCCCTACTCGTACCTGTGAGCAGGGGGATGAGACCCATTTCTAAGCCTTCCAATTTTCCTACACCCTTGGTTTTTGCTTGTGTGTGGTTGTGGGTTGTTTTTATGGTCTTGTATGTTGATTTTGTGTTGCCAAATAGGTGTGTATGTTGCTGTCCAGTTGAGGATTGTGTAGCATGTGACTTAAATGGATAAAGATTGTTGTTTGGAGGTGGAAATGGGCATTGCATCTTACTGGGTATGAGTTTTGTTGGGTTAAGTTTAGTGGTTTTCGCAATCGGAGCCAATTTTTACTCTTGTTCTGGAAAACCAGTTTCGGGTCCCTGGTACCACCTTGTTTTGTTATTTTTGTGGAGACTTTTGTGATCCGAATTTCCAAACACTTCATTCTTAAAAGTTTTTCCAAACATCTTGAAGTTTTACATACTTTAATTTTGGAAATTTTGGACTTGATTTGAGTTGGACGATCACCTTATTTTCGGATCGTGTAAAACTGTCGAGAATGGGTATTTCTGTGATGTTTATACTTTCTCAATTTTCTACAAACTTTTCTGGGCTGAGTTTGAACAAACTTCATTAATAAAAGTTGTTGAGAACTTCTTTCTATATAACATATACAAATTTTGGAATTTTTGGAGATGATTTGGATTCTGGAAAGAGCTTATTTTGAGAGGCAAAGATTCTGTTCTAGTGAACTATTTTTAGTCTGTTTTTGAACTACTAAAAGTTGTGTTTAAAGAAAGATCTAGATTTCGTGTTCTCATGGGAAACATTTGTTAAGGTCTTGTTTACGACATATTCAAATTTTATAATTTTCAGAGTCCATTTAATATGTTGTTAAGTCTGATTTCTAGAACAGTGCAAAAACTGCCCGGTTTTGCTAGATTACAAAGATTCATTATTTTCTATATGAGAACGTTGAAAATTCAATTTGATATCTTCTGGAGACAAAATCTATACATTCTGAGCTTTCTAATGAGGGTAATGATTTCATTGGCTTAGGTGTCCCTAAACTACTTAGGGCATAATTACCTATTTTTGTGGCTTGAGGAACAAGTTGTCTTGAAGACCAAGTTGCCTTAATTTCTCTTGGAAACTAGCCATTTAATGTAAGCTTATGTGTCCCTAAGAATTAGGGCTATCATTACCCTAAAGTGAGTCTTGAAGGAGGCTTAGGGAAGATTCTAAAGAGTCAAAACTTGGGGAGCAAGTCTTGACCTTTATCTTGGTGAACAAGTTGGTTTGCCTATAAATAGAGGCATCCCTTCTCTTTTCCTCACCATACACCACCTCCTCTTCCTCTCTCATCTCTCACTCTCACGTCTCCCTCTCTCTCCCTCACCTTCACGCTGATCACCTCTCTACCTCTCTCTCGATCGTTCGCCGTCGCCGACCACCGTTTTCCTGTTCGACCCTCGTAGACGTTTTCTTGTGCTTGCGGGTGAGTGAATTCCCTAACACTTGGATAGGGCGGTGTGTTACGTGGTTGGAACGCGGCTTGGGAAGTTGCTGTTGCTTGAAATAGTTTTGTTCTTGTGGGCGTTGGTTCTTGCTAGCAATATTCATGTGACCATTATTATTGTTGAGTTGACTTTGTTTTCAATGGTGGTGTACTTGTTCTTAAGTGAAAATTTTCGTGTGTACACCTATACAAGTTTGTGCTTGTTATTGTATGGTTTGCTTGTGATTCATTTTGTTGAGAGTCGAGCACATCTTGTGCATCGAAGAAAAGGTTCCCATCGGCATTGAACGTGAAACATAGGCACGTCGGATCGGGCCTCTCTTAGGCTTGGACGATATTGAGGAATATCGTCAGGTTGGTGTTAAAGTGTAGCGATTCTCGGGCCTTAATTCGTGCCCGGCAGACCTATTTGTACTCAACCACGGTAAGTCATTTCGTATATGTGTTTTGCACGCCCTCGGGCTTCATTCTTGAATCGACTAAAAATGAAAGATAAGAACCGAAGTCTTGTTTGCTACCGCATGATCATACGAGGGACTAAACCGTTACCGATGGATTTCAGTTATGTAATAAAGGAACCCCGTGTGAATTATTTTACGTTGTTCTTGTGCATGATTGCATGACGCTTGGATGCGGTAGTTTGTGTGATATGTTGATGTTCTTAATTATACTTGTTGATTTATGAGCTTGTGAGCTTTTCATGTGTACATAGCAACTAGGGCCTTGTATGCATGGATAATAAA